CCGGCAAGCCACAGCCTTTGGAAGGCTTTGGGTCAGGATCAGCTGGGTGGCACCACCGGAGCTTATTCTCCATTGGTTCCAACCGCTGCCGGCCGAGGTTTGGTTCGGGTTGACCTGGAAGGGAGGATGGGGATGTGCTGGAGTCGAGGGTGAGAGCAATTGGGCATGGGGAGGTCCAATCCAGTCGGGTGGCTCGGTTGGACACAAACCTGCTCAGTTTGGGTTGAACTGGGCTCGACCCAGCTCAGGCTAGACCCTGGGCTTAATGTGAGAGAAGGGTCTGTGTCAGGTCCACCTAATGCAAGTGGCAATTGGGTTTAATTTGACCTGGGTTCAAAGATGGCTCGGGTCCATATGGTTTTGGCTACTTTAAACTAGCCCAAAACTTAACCCAAGTCAACCCAAGGCATGGGCTGGCTGGAGGAAGTGTATTGGACCTAGGGCCACCTAATAGAGGCGTTGATCAAGTTCAATTTGACTTAGGGTAAGAATTGGCTCAATCCCATATGGTTTTGGCCACTTTGGGTTAGCCTAACTCTTTACCCAAGTGGACCTAAAGGTTGGGCTTGTCAAGGGACATGTATTGGGTCGAGGGGAACCCAATGGCACCTTGATTTGGATTCAATTTGATTAAGGTTTAGAGATGGTTCAAAGGGGTCCTCTCTTTGATCACTTCGGTCAAGCCAAAAGGCTAGTCCAAGTGAGCCCAAGGCTTGCGTCTCCAAGAGGGGTCTCTTTGGTGCCCAAGGAGTCACCCCTTGAGTTCAAATGGAATTGAAATGATCTTGGTCAAATAGGTTAGGTAGTGGATTAAGGTATATGGTTTATTTTCGTCACTTGTGACTTTGTCAACCAGTTGACCTAAGGGCTAAGGAGTGGGTCCCTTGAAATCCATTTGATCATATGAGTCTAAATGAATGAGGCAATCAAAGGTGTGGGAAAGGTCATTTAGGTCAAAATGACCAATTTTGAACCCTTAAGCCGGGGGGGGGGGGGGGCTTAAGGTCAAAATGGGTTACTTGGTCAAACCAAGTTGACCCATAGGTTTTGGAATTGAGTTAAAGGGGTTCCAAAGGTCAGTTGGAACACTTGAGAAAGATTTAAAGATTGAATGCCAAAATTAAATTAAATTAGGGGCCAAAGGTCCAAAATCCACCTTGCCGAGACATTTGGTCATTTTTGGCTATGAGTCAATTATGGTCCAAATTGAGTACTGAAAAGGTGTAGACTATTGTTAAAAAATCACAATCAACGTATTAGACGGTGATACAAAAGGGGGTTTGGCGGGGCTCAAAGTCCTATTCCACCAGGTGATGGTCCAGTGGCATTGATGTGTAATATTTAAAGGTTTCGCAACTATTGGAGCTGGATTAAAAGTTTAAGGGGTTAGCGTCGCTCCAAATGAGCTCAACAAATTTTGGAGAGGTGACCTAGAACATGGTCCCATCAATATGGCAATGACAGCCCTGAAATCAGATGCCAATTGACTGGGTTTCATGTGATGGAAGGCAAATTCACCCATAAGAAGGGCTTTAAGACCTAAGTCTATAGCACCTCCAAAATTCTTGGGTTGGATTGAAGTATAAGATTCGACTGGGCTTAAGGGCTAAGGAGCTGCAAACATTCCTAGGATCTAGAAATCAGGTGTAGTTAAAAGTGATCTCATAAAAATGAGGTCAATCAAATGGATCCCTCAAATGTGGCGTAGTAGATAAGGACAACTTCTGCTATGCGCATTGGCGTGACTGAATGACAATTTTGAACTGAGATCTTGAGAGATGTGAGGAAGGGCTTCACCCAACACTTAGTCTACAGGATGCCTGTAGAAGACTTACTCTAGTAGACAGAAAATCAAACTGGGAATCCAAGGTAAGGCATCAACCTACCTTGGTACTAAGTAAGGGCAATCACCCAACCTATGTTATAAGTATGACTGGATAGAAAGACTTACTCCTAAAAGACAAATTAACTGGGAAACGCAAGGTAGGACATCACCTAAACCTTGGTCTAAGGAAGGGCATCACCCAATATTAAGGTCCTATAGGAATACTCATGAAGATTATACTCCTAATAGACAGATTAATTGGAACCAAGGTAGGCACACACTACATTGGGGTCTAAGAAGGGTCAATCACCCAACCTTAGGATTCTATAGATGCTGATAGAAATACTTACTCCTAATAGACAGATTACTGGAAAACTAAAGTAGTGCATCACCTAACCTTGTGTCTAAGGAAGGGCATCACCCACCTTAGGTTATAAGGATAGCTGATAGAAGACTTTACTCCTAAAGAAGATATACCTAGAAAAACCAAGGTAGCATCACCTACCTTGGTCTAAGAAAGGGCATCACCACAACCTTAGGTTTATAAGGATGTCTAATCATAAGACTTACTTCCTAAATACCAAATTAATTGGATGGTCATGTGGGGAGGAACTTGCTCCACACAAAGGATCAAAAACTAGCAAACTAGGATGAGTGCCAACGAAGGGCATACTCCACCACTAATCCAGTCAAATGCCAGGATGGTACCACGAGGGTGTACTCCACACTAACGGGTCTAACCCTAAGGGAAGGAAGGAAACCTTAAGGAATACAAAGGTATTAAGAAAAGTATAAGAGAGCATAAAGAACTAAATCAATTGCAAGTCAAGGAAAAGGAAATTTTATGAATTTGGACAAAATGAGCTCATCAGCATAATACTTAACTTAAAAGGTAATGCCCGTTAAAGGGTATCAATACGGGTGATTTCTTTATAATCCCTAGCTGATACGAAGCCTTCCTTCGTAGACAATCTATATCAACGAAGGGTCCTTCTAAATTGGTTATCAAAACTTGCCTCCCACTTTCGGTGGGCTAAGATAGGCCATCCAAGGACAACACCAAGTCTGCTACTTGGAAGATTCCTAGGTCTTCACTAAACTTGTAACATGATCTTGAATCAATTTGAGATTTATATAACTCTAGACTTTATTGAGCTTTGAGACATCGCTCTT